TAATTAAGCCCCCCCCCCCGTCATTTTCCAGTTCAGCGCCTCAGACTGTGGGAGCCGCAAGTTGTGCGTGCGGAGCCCTGCGGCCTGCGCCCCGGAGCAGCGCCCCTGCCTCTTTCTGTCCTTCAGGCGAGACGGCCCGGCCGTGCTGGTGGAGATGAGCGGCCCCGGCAAGGGCTACCTGTCGTTCGCGCTGTCCCACGACAGGTGGATGGTGGGTACCGGTCACGGTCACGCGCGCACGCGGCAGTGAAACCCGTCGCCGGGGGAGCCCCAGGCCACCGAGGTTCGGCTGTTTGTCCCGGAGTCGAACGATGGCGCTTGGGGCCGGCAGGGGCCTTAGAGCAGCATCTCGGCCAAGCGGCTTCGGGCCCCGGCCGCGACCCGTTTCTTGCTTCCCGTCAGCGGCTGTCCTGGGCCACCTGTGGACTGTGTCACTGGTCACGGCCCCCGTCGCCCCCAGTGTTCAGGGGAATTTATTCGCCTCTCGGGTCCTTCTTCCTCCCACCCCCACCCCCAACTTTTTATTTTGAAAAGTTTTAAATTTACATGGAAGTTGAAAGAATACAACTAACACCTGTAAGCCCTTCACCTGCAGCTGCCACTTGGTCCGTCTGTCTCTCTCTCTCTGTCTCTCTTTCCCAGTGTGCGAGTGTTTATAGGTTGACTTCTGAGGTGTATAGAAAATAATTCTTATGGCTCATGGATGACGGACATTCTAGAAAGCACACGTTGTTTGTTTAAACCAGAGATCAGCAAATGGTTTTCTATTTGGAGAGAAAACATAGGTATAAATACAAATAGATTTGGATGAACATCCATGAAAACATCAAGAGTGGTGTTCAGTTGGGGACGGGTTTACGGCCAGATAAACATGTGTCTACTTTAGCCTGTTTTAATACTGAAATTGTGTTGCTTTCGTAGTATAACAATAATTTTGATTAATAAATCAGACAGCCAGTTCTCTAGAATCCATAGTATCATTTAAGACTGCCATTAAATTATGTTTTAAAAATATCAAATACTATTTGATTTTTATTAAGGACTTAAAAAAAATAAAATGTTGAAATTCCTTTAAGTTTTCTTCCTTTGCCGCTGTCCCCCAGGGCGACGACGATGCTTACCTGTGCATCCGCGAGGACCAGACGGTGCACATTCGCCCCTCCTACCTGACCGGGCGGAGCCACCCCGCGCTGGACTCCCGGGTAGGTGTGAAAGTTGGGGAACCTCTGCCCACCTGGCCTGTCTGCCTGGGGTCTGTGCGGCAAGGTCGCCTCGAACCCGCCGGTAGTAGCAGAGCCCGAGCAGGGGCCTCGCCACCAGGCTCCTGTCCTATGAGACTCTGGGGAAAACTTTCCTGCACTTCATTTTATTATTTTATTTTATTATTTTATTTTATATTTTATTTTATTTCATTTTATTTTATATTTTATATTTTATATTTTACTTTATTTTATTTTATTATTTTATTTTATATTTTATTATATTTTTATTTTATATTTTATTTTATTTTATTTATTTTATATTTTATTTTATTTTATTTTATTTATTTTATATTTTATTTTATATATTGAAGGCGTGCGCCGTGGTGTTTTGATACACAGACAGTGACATGCTGACTGGAGTCACCCAGGTGGCATCTCCATCTCTCAGGCTCGGCCTATTTCTGCAGCGAGAGCACTGCCGCGGGCTCTGGGAGCAGATCCCCAGCACTCGTGCGATTTTACTGACCGGGTCACTGCACTGCCCACACGCCTCTGGGCCTGTCCGTCTTCCTAACCGCAGCTCCGCCCCCGGCCAGCAGGCCCCCTTTCTGCGCGTTAGGGAGCACAAGACACCTTCTCTCGCAGGAGAAGATGAGTTCCTGCCTGTCCCTTAAATCTTTTTGATCGCCTCTTATAAGAAAACGCTTTGTGGTTTGTTGAGAAGGTCAAAGCATCGACCCTTTTCAACAGCTTACAGACGGGTTTTTAAGAAGAGGTTTATGTTAGTGACACAAAGACTTTCTTCTTTTTTTAAAATACATTTTTATTGATTTCAGAGAGAGGAAGGGAGAGGGAGAGAGATAGAAATGTCAGTGATGAGAGAGTCATTGACTGGCTGCCTCCTGCAGGCCCCCCGCTGGGGATGGAGCCCGAAACCCGCGCGTGGGCCTCACCGGGAATCGAACCGCGACCTCCTGGTTCGTAGGTTGNCTGGCTGCCTCCTGCAGGCCCCCCGCTGGGGATGGAGCCCGAAACCCGCGAGTGGGCCTCACCGGGAATCGAACCTCGACCTCCTGGTTCGGAGGTCANAAAGACTTTCTTCTTTTTTTAAAATACATTTTTATTGATTTCAGAGAGAGGAAGGGAGAGGGAGAGAGATAGAAATGTCAGTGATGAGAGAGTCATTGACTGGCTGCCTCCTGCAGGCCCCCCGCTGGGGATGGAGCCCGAAACCCGCGCGTGGGCCTCACCGGGAATCGAACCGCGACCTCCTGGTTCGTAGGTTGATGCCCAACCGCTGAGCCACACTGGCCGGGCTACAAAGAGTTTCTTGACCAGTGACAAAGAGGAGCATTTCTGGGCAGTTAGTTGTCCTCGGTGGCCCTTGCCCGCGTCTGTGCCAAGGTGGCCTATGCGGGTAGGAAGTTCCTCTCAGGGCAGCTGACCAGCACACGAGCTCCGAGTGACCAGGAGCTGCCGCCCGATGAGGTGGCCTGTTCTCTGCTCAGCTTCCCGGGGTTTGACTCCCTCAGCTGGGCTGGAACGTCTCCGAGGCCGCCCGGTGCGTTGTGGCCACTGGGGTTTTACTTGCTAATTATATTGTTTCTTTAATGTTTTCGCTTGTGTGTGTGAGCGGCCAGATGGAGTTTGACATCTGCCCAAGTTTCTCACCTGGGGAGAGGAATTGTGGGGTTTGGACTCAAAGTAAAAATAATGTTTTTGCCAAGTGGGATAAACACAAATAAACTGGGAGACGACGTTGGCCGGACCCTTCAAAGGGGGAGCGGAGAAACAATGGCAGTGCAGGCGAAACACGCACCGAGGGCCTTCGAGAGAGGAAACTGATGGGGAAGGATTCTGATCACATCTTGTTTTTAGCAAACCTTTGGAAGGCGCTGAGGAGGCCCCTGTGTGTGTTTGTAGGACACGCTCGAGGACATGGCCTGGAGGCTGGAGGACGGTGTTATGCAATGTTCTTTCAGAAGAAACATCACCCTTCCCGGGGTGAAGAACAGATTTGATCTGAACACAAGCTACTACATATTCCTAGCAACTGGTGCAGCTAGTGATGGTCAGTACTGAGTAATGATAAAAACCACCTTTTCAATATAGTTTCTTCTCTCTGTTCTTCCTTCCCCCACCCTTTTGTGAGAGACGACTGTAACTGCTCATTTTTAAGCTATATACACGTGTGGCTAAAGAGTTATCGAAACCGTTTTCCATTTTTGCCTTCCATTTGACCTTGGTTGACCTTCAAAGGTCAACCTTGGTTGCTTCCCTGGAAACTAGGTAAAGGTAGAGTCGGCTATGTTATGAGGCTACATGCTCACGATAAGAGTGATTTCTGGCTGGTAAACAGCATTTGGACCAGGGAGAACTATAAATACTCGGTAAGAAGCCGCACCTTCGGGCCTCCCCGAGCCCAGTGACAGGGGCAGAGCCCACGCAGGGACGCTGGAGGCAGTGACTTTGGGGTGTTGCCGGAGATACTGGCTCCGGTGGGATAACCTGCTGAAAGCAAATCTTTCCCCTGGGATCTGAGTTACTGCTACTTCTTTGATCAATTTTTGTAATTCTGGATTTTCCCCAAAATTCATCCATTTTATTTAGATTTCGAAATATTTTTAGCTGACTTAAGTAGCATCTGTAGCATTTTCATGTAATTTTAAAGACTATCTTCTGGGTTGGCAGCTATGTCTCCCCTTTCATTTCTAATATTATTTGTGATTTTTTTTTTATCTTGTGGTCAGACTTGTCAAAAACTCAGTCGATTTTATTGGCTTTTTGCCGACTTGATTTTTCTGAGTTTTAGACTCAGACTTACTCGTTTGTTTATTTCTACCTTTGTTTTTAATCAGTTCCTCTTTCTGATCTCCCAGGTTATGTGTTGTTGGTTTAAATGCATCTTGAGTGAAATGACTACTTCAGTGCTTTAAGCCTTATTATTATTATTTTTTTTAAGAAATGCTTTTAGAGATAAAAGCTTCTGAATAGAACCTTGATTGCATCACGTGGGCTTTGATCTGAAGTGTCTTCCTTTCACTCATTTTCAAGAAGGCTTGTGATTTAATTTGGCTTCCTGTTTAACCCAAGGGTTATTTAGAAAAGCAGTTTCATAAATATCTAGGTGGACCATTTGTTTTTCTAGCTTATTGTTGTTAAGTTTTGGTTTTGTTGCATTTTTGAGAGATAGGATAGCTTGTTTCCTGTAAAGTTATTTCTTTCTGGAAATTACCACCTTGTAGCCTGTGGTCTAATACATATTTTTGTTTGGGACAAAGATTCATGTGTAAATATATATATATATATATATACACACACACACACATACACACACACACATATATATACCTGTAATATATCAAATTTCTTAACTATTTCTATTCTTTTGGACACGCATTGTGTTCTAAAAGTAATGTATCTTTTATAATTTATTTACTTATCCCCCTAATGATGGCCACTGAGCTTGTTTACAATTTTTTTTGGCATAAAAAAGTTTCTGTGAACATTCCTGTACGTACATCTTTGGGTAGAAGGTGAGCGTTTCCGCAGGGTAGATCCTCAGAATGAATGCACTGGCTCCCTTACGTGCTCACAGGTACGAGCTCATTGGAACAGCTCTGTACATCCATGTGTTCAGATCTGCGCATAATAAGTAGTAATGTAATGATCCACTCGCAAACGGCTGGCATCACTTTTCTCTGGGAGTTTGGTTTTAGTCAAACCCAGCCCCAATCTCCCACATGCCGCATGGCAGTGTCACAATGTGTTTGTCTTCCCCACGGGCCCAATTCTGTCCGTTTAATCGAGGATTCTCGATTACGGTTTACACATAGTCTCTCTCAAGGATTGTGCTTGACACTTTCAATCATTTGTGGTCGTATCAACGGTGATTATTTTGACTAAACATGGTTCACGGGCCTCTCAGCACGACTTCCATGCCCCCAGCCCTCGCTCTCGTCGGCTGAATTGTTTCTTTAATTTTTTTCTGCGAGGCCACGTGACCTGGCATCTGCATTTGTGTTGCTTTTGCATCTGAATGGCGTCTCCGTTGATAATTTGTTTTCTATTATTTTAGGAAGTTTCGCTTCCGTGTCTCACGTGGCCTTTCTCTTCCTTCACTCCTGGGAACTAATTCTTCTTCATCTTCGTTCTCCCTCCTTTTGATAATTTCAGGTCGGATTTATAGGCACTCGCAGCAGCCTCTGGTCACCTATGAAAAGCACGCCGTCACAGATGACCTGAGGGACGCGGGCGCGTCGCGGGCCCCGCCCCTTCTGAGGGCCCACGGTGAGCTCTGTGGAAGGGATTTCCTGGGCCTCGGGACTCGGGACTCGGCGCTGGCGGGGCAGGGCGGGGCGCGGTGGTGAACACGGCTCAGCGAGTGTTCTGANTTTTTTTTTTTTTTTTAACATTTATTTATTTTTAATATATTTTTATTGATTTTAGAGAGAGAGAAAGGGAGAGAGAGATAGAAACATTGATGGGCTGCCTCCCGCACCCCCCACCAGGGATGGAGCCTGCGGCCCAGGCACGGGCCCTGACGGGGAAACCGAGCCTGCGGCCTTTTGGTTGCCAGGACGACCCTCCGACCCGCGGAGCCACCCGGCCGGGGCACCTATTAGTTTTTCATTGTCTTTTGGAGCGAGAGGTGAGGAGGGTCCCAGGTGACCGCTGGCTGTATTATCAGTACAGTGGTAAGAGCACAATTGCTCAAGTCAGACGGGGCTCAAATCCCGACCTTGTAACTCTGGGCGGGTTACAGGACTTGCCTGTGCCTTAGTTTCCCCGTCCAGCAAAACCGGAATGATAATCATTGTAACCGCTTCACAGAATTGCTGTAAAGATCAATTAGGTTGGTACACGGAGAGCACTGTGGAGACAGCGCCTCGCACATAGTAGGGCTTTGGAGGCGTCGGCTGTCAGAAGTTGCCGTGGCGATAGGGAAAGCTTTAATATTCGCGGCGCTTTGAGGTTATGCTGTCAGTTGAATGCACTTTGCTGGTTGTTTGTCTTTTCTGAGCCTTTGGCCGGGTCATTGGGAAACAGCCGGACCCGTCTGTGGTGTCACCTGTTGTGTCGTCTCACCTGCAGGGGTCTTGATGCTGGTGGCGTGGATGACGACCGTCAGCATAGGCGTAATCGTCGCCCGGTTCTTCAAGCCGGTGTTGTCAAGGCCTTTCTTCGGTGAATCAGTGTGGTTTCAGGTAGGTGGGAGGGAAAGTTTAATGCGATTTCCGTACTATTTTACGTTGCGACGTGAAGAGACGCCGAGTACGCGGGTTTCTTTCCCCTTTTTGTGCGTGGTATCGTTGTGGTTTGGGAAGCCTAATAGCTTCCTAACCAATTGAGAACAGATGTGGGATCCTCCAGAGAGATCGGAGTAGAGCGAGCTGTAGGAAGGGTCAGGCTGGGCTGGCGAACGCGCCCGGGCCGCGGGCACCCCGCGTAACACAGGCTTTGGGCCCAGATGATCCTGACCGGCGTGACTAAGCGCCGAGTGCAGATGGTCAAGGAAGGCGGGAGCGCAGCGAGGAGTCGTGGGCGCTCACTGCGGTTCCAGGCCGGCGTCTGCTCTCTGGGTGCCGGGCCGGTCAATGCCCGGCCATCCCTAACTCACCAATTGGGTCACCTGTCTCCTCTGCCTGTGGGACTGGAAACGAGAAGCGTTTCTTTCCACGTCGCCCCTTTGCCTGGGGTGAGGGGCAGCCTCTCAATAGAAACCTGAGCGAGTCGCTCAGCGCCCCTCAGAACAGCGGGACACACCTTATCTTTCGTGCGTCACGCGCCAGGTGCCCATCAGGGCCCGCCCTCAGGGACCCTCACCCCCTGATCCCGTCCCCATGGTAACGCCGACTCCCCTGACACGGGTCCCTCTCCCTCGCGGTCCTTCCCCCCAGGTGCACCGCACGCTCATGCTCACCGCCTGCGCCCTCACCTGCATCGCTTTCACCCTGCCTTTCATCTACCGGGGAGGCTGGAGCTGGGTAAGTGCACCCTAACCTGGGCGTTTTTCTATAAATTCGCTAGGAGACTGCTGTTGGTTCTCAAATGAAGGGCAAAAAGATATTTCTGCATGTGTCTCTTTTTTAAAAATCATCTGGTGACTCCTTCCCCTGGTTGGGGGTGAGGGGTGGTGTGAGCGTGTCTGCAGACTCCTTGGTAATGGAACGTGTTTTTAGGCTGTGTGTCAAATGTTACGGAGAGATGCTCTCTCTGTCCTTCATGAGCTTTCTCACCATCGAGTGGTGGAAACTCAGAGCGTGACGTTTAAGGCACACGCACACGTAGGTGGTCGTCTCTAGTGAACACGATCACCGCTGACCTGCCATTCGCTGCGTTCCCGCACTGTGACCAGCTATGTGCTTTGCACGGTTATTATCGGACTTAAAACCTCAAAGGAAGTAGTTATAATAATCCCATGTCACAGATGGGGAAACTGAGGCTTAGTCCCACATGCTCATCTCTGGCTCAGACCTCACCCCTGGCTTGAGACTTACATTCAGCTGTGTACTCAGGGCGTGAACTCACCTGTCCGAGATTCTCAGGCTTCACGTGTCCAAAGTGGGGTTCCTGACCTTTCCTCCCGATCGCTGCAATATGTCGGGGTGGGTGCTCGCGACAGGCCCTGGTCCTCGGTGGACTGACACCCTGACGGAGGAGAAGCAGCGGCCCGAGCATGGACTCTCACAACCACATCAACACGGGGTGGCTTTGGACGGTTACTGGCTTCTCTGGTCCTCAGTTCCCCCATTTGTAAAAGTGGGTTATTTATAACCAAGTGTGGAGCGTAAAAGTGTGCGTGGTATGTGCCTGGTATGAAGTAGACACCCAGTGATTGGTGCCTGTCGTCACCACCATCACCACCACCATCACCATCACCACCACCATCACCATCATCACGTCACCATCACCATCACCATCACCACATCACCATCACCATCACCACCACCATCACCTCACCATCACCATCATCACCACCACCACCACCATCACCATCATCACATCACCATCACATCACCATCACATCACCATCACCACCACCATCATCACCACCACCATCACCATCACATCACCATCACCATCATCACATCACCATCACATCACCATCACATCACCATCACATCACCATCACCATCACCACCACCATCATCACCACCACCATCACCATCACCATCACATAACCATCATCACATCACCATCACCATCACCATCATACCATCACCATCACCATCACCATCACCATCACCATCACCATCACCATCACCATCACCATCACCATCACTGTTTAAGGCTACAGGAGACCATGAAGGATGCTTAGATGTGTATCGTTTCTAACTTGGGTGTTTGAATCGGTGGCGGGAGCGGGAGCACTAATTCGCGATGTCGCTCTGCTCAGCGCGCAGGTTACCACCCCTACCTCGGCTGCCTGGTGCTGACGTTGGCGGTCCTGCAGCCCCTCCTGGCCGCCTTGAGACCACCTTTACACCACCCCAGGTACGCAAGCGCTCCTCCTGCGAAATTGTTAGTCGCAAACAAATCCCTCTTCAAGAGGAAGCACTTTGCATTTTATTTATTTGATTTTTTTATTTTCTTTTACTTTGCATTTTATAAAATTCAGTGATAAATTCTATTTACTTAAAAGGCTTGACAATGGACTTCGGATATGTCATTCCTGGGCAATAAGGGAAATGGCACGCTTTCTGTTCTCTCGGGGGCTAATTGTCATCCGGCCCTTTTAAGCATCCTGACAGCTTTTCTTTATTTTGGCAGAAGGCACCTGTTCAACTGGACCCACTGGGGGATGGGCACAGCTGCTAGAATAATAGCAGGTAAGTCGCTGCGGTGCCGCTCATTCATATATAATTGCTGGTTGTCCGCGCTGTGAGTTGTAATTGGGCGTAAATGATTTTTAGATGCATTGGTAATTGGAGGAATTGGTTGTTGAGGAGAAATCAGCTTTAAAGATTGAATCTAGAAAGTAATTTCTAGAGGTGACTATTTAAGTCATTATTTCAGTTTTAAACTTAAAAGATTCTGAAAATGACTTTAAAACTCTCCTTGTAAGACTTTTTTAAAGCATTTGCCTCTGCAAGCAGAATACACTCTGCTGGCAGCCAACCATTTTAGCAGCTCAAGTTGAAGGTCATCGGCGAGCTGGGCTGTGCTGGGCTGCTCTGGGCTGGGGCCGGGTTCCTGGCCTTTTGTCTCCAGGTCCCTCCCGTGCGATGGTGCCTCCCAGGAAGGGCGGTTGGCAGAGGTCGCGTTTGACTTTAGATTTTGATGCCTTGTGTGGGGGCTGCCTGAGCCGGGGCCTCCTCCCCAGGCATTTCCATAGTCGGCGGGGTTCTTGGGGGAGAGGGGAGCCCCGCCCTCACTGGTTTCCATGCTCGGCTCCCTTCCCACAGCGCAGACTTAAAACTCTTTGCAAAGTTTAGACGCCTCTTTTTTAAGAATCAGTAGGTTATAATTGTAATTTCTCATCTTACCCTTTCTAGTCTCATAATAAGACTAGAAAACAGAGACAATTCCCTCTCAGTGGCGACGACATTTAAACATATAGGTATGTTTTGTTATATGCGTAGTGGCAGCGATGTTTCTGGGCATGGATTTACCGGGACTGAACTTTCCCGGCCCGTGGAAAACCTACACGATGATTGGGTTTGTCGCCTGGCACGTGGGGGCCGAGATTGTCCTGGAGGTGCATGCTTACCGGCTCTCTCAAAAAGGTAACCCGCTCACGGAGCCCCGTCATGTAGAATCGCTTTTATATAAACGCGGGGAATATAATTATTTCTTGATTCTAATGGTTCGCTATTCATAGCAGCTTGTGAAACATTTCTGTTGTGATTAGTCAATGGTAGAAAGGGTGGAAATTCCCTGCCTTTCTTGTTCATATTTGTTAGTAGTAAGAATTTGAGTAAAATATAGGGGAGCAATTGTGGGCTTTAGGGGGAAAGTCTTCTTTGTGAGAGCTTTGGCTGTGCACGCTGGTCTGGCTCCGGCCGGTGTCCACAGAGCCCCGAATGCCGGGACCCGAGACCCCTGGGATGGAGGAAGTGGAGGTGCCCAAAGTCCACACGGGCAGAGCTGCCCACAGATGTTACCCGTCTGGCCAGCTGACCGTGTGCTACCACTGAGGGTGCCTTACACGTCACATACTTAGTGAGCCAGAGGGGATGTGCTGACTGTGCCCAGCCGCCTAGTGCGAGGTCCATTTGGTCTCAGTCCCAGGCGGGGCGCTGGACCTGTGGCCATGAGGACTGCAGGAATCAGTAGAGAATGAGTGAGATGCTCAACTAGCTCAGATTCTGGGCTAAGTGTCCTTTGTGTCCTGTCTAGATTTCAGCCGCCACCCTCCCCAAATGATGAATAAAGGTGGCCTTCGAAAAACAAAAACCTCATTGTTGTCTAGTGTGTATGTTCTGAATTTAGGAGCCGGTGGCTTTGGGGAGCTGGTTAGTCCTGCCAGTTTTTGGTTCTTGATAGGAATCCGGGGAGCTGATTAGTCCTGCCAGTTTTTGGTTCTTGATAGGAATCCGTATGTGGGGCTTTTGATGACCACCAAGCTGTGGCTTGCTGTTTATAGACCATTTGTACTTAAACTTGTATTGTTAGGGGTTTGATATGGTGTTTATTGACTAGAAAAAAGAGCATATTTTACGTGTTTGTCCCAGTTTGTGAGAGTCTTAAATATTTGGGAAGTTTGCAATATTTGGGAGCTGGAAATGGGAGAAAACAACCAGCCAACACCGCCAGTCGGGGTTTGTTCTGAGAGGGTTCGCCTGCACACCCCCCCGCCTGACCAACGTCTGTTTCTGTTCTTGACAGTTGAAATACTGGATGATACTAGAATTCAGATTATGCAGCCATTTGCCATGGCTGAGGCAGAAGTAAGTCCTATTTTTATTCTTTGACAAAGCCTTCAAGACAGGTAGTTTCTTTCTCCCATGTGTCGGTTTTTCTTCCAGGGCCACGCTTTTAAAAAGGCGGTGTTAGCGGTGTATGTCTGTGGGAACGTGACTTTCCTCATCATATTCTTATCTGCTATCAACCGGCTGTGAGCAGAGGCCTCGCCGTTGCCACCAGGTAACAGTTCCCGTGGAGCCCAGGAGACCCGAGGCCTGTACCGACCGCCTGGGGCGCGGCTGTGGATTCTCACGTGGACGCCAGGTGGAGACCAGGCCGTGTGCACAGAGGCATTCTGACCTCTGGCCTTCAGGTGACCAAGCAGCAGGGTCCCGTGGACTATGATGCGATGTCTAGCCTTTATGTGCGAGAAGGTCGAGGAGAAGTGACCCTTAGATATTTCTCTTTTCTCTCCTTTTTATTGAATGTATTGGGGTGATGCTGGTAAACAAAATTATACAGGTTTCAGGTGCACAATTTCACATCAACTGGTCACTGTATTGTGTGTTCACCACCCCAGGTCAAGTCTCTTTCCATCACCATTTACCCCCCTTACCCTCTTCTACCTCCTCCCAGCCCCCCTCCCCCCAAATATTTCTATGCTGAGATTTTAAGAGTGTTAGCGTTTAAGAAAGTAAACAAGAACTATTTGGAAACAAAGAAAGGAACAGTATATTTTGAGCTACAGAAGTGCTGTGGTTCTTTTAAGACAGTATCTATAGGGAGCCCCCCCAAATGTATACACACTTTAACAGCTGATTCTATTACATTTGAAAATGAACTCTATTTTAATAAACACTGCCTTCATAATTATTCAAAGCGTGTAGACATTTTTTGGGGAACAGCCCGTAATTTTGCTATTTTCTAGGGCTTTTTGGGAAACTGCGTTTCTCAGTCCAGTTTGGGGGATACACCCCTTGCTCTGTGTATCTCGTTTCTTCCCTGGTAAAGGTGGAGATGGGGCTGACCCCATTGTAGGTTTTGTTGACATTGAAATATATTATGAATATTATAATTTCTTTCTTAGCTATGAAACGTAAGTGCGCATCTTCTGCTTAAAAACTGCCTTCATGGATTCAGCAACAGAGCTGAGGTGGCGTTTTATTTGCTCCTCGCTTTGACATTAAGATTTGAGTCCGACAGCCCGTGGAGGCTGTAGACTTGCATTTCAAAGTGAATAAGGTCCTTGTGAACGTATCTAAGTTACTGTCTTTCCTTGTAATAAAGCGACATGGGTGGTTCTGTGCTGCCAAAAGCTCCCGGGGCTCTAATGAATTAGAATAATGGGTGTTTCTCTCCAGCGGTGACCTCGCGTCTCTCACGGCTGCTCTGGGGACTCCCGGCCAGTGGGTGGCGCCGTAACACCAAGTCCGGCTTCGTTCCTGTTCCAGGCTGAGGCTCCTGGGATGGCATTTTCCTTAAAACCCACCGACTTAATCTTTATCTGAAAAAATTCTGCCTTTTTTTTTTTGGTGGGGGAGGGTCGGGTTTATGGGTTAGAAACTGAAATTAAGGTCCGTCGTTATTTTTACATTCGATTTGTTTGTTTTGTAACTGTGATTATTTATCACAGTAACTTTATGTTTCCCTTTCCATTCCTCTGACCCTGTCGCAAATGAATGCAACTGGCTTAGGCACAGGAAACAAGCAAAAGTGGACGTTCTTAAAATAAAACAAAAAGTGTGGGGAGGCCTCTTTTACTTTTTTAGGCGCTATTATTATGTTACAGTTTCCGGTTGGCCCAAGAACCTGAGGGCGTAAATAACAGCCTCAGCCTGGTATCCTGTGTCTTTGGGTGAAATGAAATGCAGGTTTGTTTTCCTTCCTTATGTTAGACTTTATCATAAGCAGCTTAGGGTTGAAATGTGCGTTTTCTCTTCATATTCTATAAGTACCAGGCTACTTACAGTCCAAACTTTCCTTTTGAATGTACGTTTAAAAAGTTTTTTTAATATAGAAAATTAAATGTATGCTAAGATAGTTTCCTCCAGTTTTCAGTTATAAGGGGCTTAAAGGCTAATACATTTCTTTTGATAAATTATATCCTATATCTGCCAAGGACAAATTCTTGGGAGGAGAAGCTGGACCTCAGTTTGTTTGGTTCTTGAATACGTGAACCTGCTGATTTGCAGGCTGAGATAATTTAACTTTTCCTTCTACCGATGATGTATTTGGATACATCATCAATTGGTGTAGCGATGCCCAGTGGGGCCTTTGTCATTTAATCTTAAAAGACCAAACCTTTTCAGAAATACCAAGTTAATGTTCTTCTGCTTAGGAGTGGTTGATATCCACACATTGAAAATGCTTAGTCTTCATTTTTCTCAGTTTTTCTTTCCCTTTTGTCATAAACAACCCGGGTGTTTATTTTTTTAAAAACAAATTTCTTTCGGTAGGAGTGATTGTTAAACTAAATGCCTTTATATCTTTAGCACTGTCGTCCAAGCAGTGAGCAGAATCATAAGTGTTTGTCTTAAAGATGGGTTCTTGTCTAAAATAAAAATAAATGTTTTCTTGGGAAAAAGATGAACCAGGTTCTAGGGAATTGTGACTGGGGTAGCATTCGGTGCGGAGGCTTTTTTGGGTTTATTATTTTCTGGTCCGGGGACGTCGATCTTAAGGCAGAACTTACTGAACGAATGAACCGCCTTCACCTCAGTGCTTACGTGGTTTTTACTGGGCTTTGGGCTCTAACGTGCGTCGAGGGACGTTCGTCCTTCCCCAGCCCGCCAGGCCCGGGACGTGACGGGAAGGACAAGGCAGTGCCAGGCAGCCAGGAGGCCGCGGGCGCGCGTAGCTTTTGGCTGAACAGGGGCCCTTGTTTAAGATGATCCGCTCCAGGCGGGATCACCAACGAAAGGAAGGCTTCTCCTGAGCGCTCAGCCTGGGCGGGATCCACACTGGCCCGGGCCCGGTCCTGCCTCTTTCCTCCTTGCCCAGCCCCCACCCGGCTCCTCCCTGTGCCCGGGTCACCCATGGTCGCTGCCTGGAATGCCCTTTCGGTTCCTCTTGTTCTGGCAAAGGCTAGCCTATCAAGTTCTGGCTCAGGATTACCTTCGTCCTCGGAGCCTTCCCTGTCTCCCTCTCGGTCCCCCCCATCCTGTTCCGACCACCCTGCAGGTTGAGAAGCTGCCGGTCCGTGGGCAGGTCACCTTCTCCGAGACCATCCCTTCGCCTGTGCAGCCTCCCACAGGGCAGCTGTGAGGAATCGGGGGAAGCCAGCAAGGGGCTGCCAGGGCCTCGCGCTGCGGGGGGAGGAAATGCGGGTGATTGCGTAACGGGTGCAACGTTTTATTCGGGGTGATGAAATGTTTTGGACATTCACAGCTAGTTGTACAACACCGTGAATGTAAGAAATGCCACTGAATTGTTCACTGTAAACTTGTTTTTTGTTATGTGAATTTCACCTCAATAAAACAAATATTGGTCCTATTACTCCTCTTGGATTATTATACCTGTGGGTGGAAAGATCGGCGGATTTGTTGGTCCTAAACTTATCAGTTTAATTTCTTATTTTATTATCAAAGAAGTGAATGTAATTACATGTTATGCCTGGTCACATACCTCTGGTTTAGGGGGAGTATAGCTTTAGACGTACATCTTCTTCATATGTCGTCTTAGTCACGTGCAAGAGAAACTGTCTTGCAGTCTGCGTTTCCTGTAGGGCGCTAAGCGAATGTTTTGGATTCCCCGTCAGACACAAGTGTACGGAAATCAAACTCTGGGGAATTTCCTGAACCTAATAAAGGCGAAGATCTTGTCAGATGGACTCTCCTCCAGAAAACTCTAAAGTTTAAAAAAGCAGCTGCCTGAAATCCCCGGAGAGTGAGCAGGAGTGGGAGACCCTGGTGCAGAGTCCGCGCGCAGGAGGCCGATTGCTTGAAGCTCCCTGTTTTCACGGTTTTAGCTTCAGAGCAGCTGCAGTGAACCGTGTGTGGTGCCTGCCGGGTGGCAGGGGCTATAGTCTCGGGCGTGGACTGCTGGCTGGGCCACCTGTCAGGAGGGGAGGGGTTCCGGGAAGGAGAACGCTAGAGAGGGGACCCCAAGTCTTGGTTGGCCACAGCTCTGGTTGACTGAGCCATATGCTTGCTACAAATGAACAGATGCATAGACATGGAATCGATGCAATAGGACCGTATAGAATTGAAGAGCTGAAAAAAGTATTTGAAGAAATTCACTGGATAGAATTAATATTAGAATGGAGATGGCAGAAAAAAGAGCCAATGGATCTGAAGGTAGATTAATAGAAATGATCTATTTGAAGAGAGGACAAAATCTTGGAAAATAATTGGACGTCAGGGACCTGCTAAATGATAACATCTTTGGTATTATTTCAGGAGAGGAGACTCTCTGGATCTAATAGATAGAAAATCCCCAAACTTGATGAAATTTGATAATGTTACTGGTTCATAAATCTGAAGACAGGCTTATGCAAGTCATAGTTGAACCCTTGGAAGCAAAAAATACAGAGCACGGGAGATAGTAAAAAGTGCATAACCCTGGACACAGGCAATAGTGTGGAGAAGGCCCGGGGGCCGGGGGTGGGGCAGATCCCTGGTGGAGGGGATCAATGTGGGGGAAACAGGCGACATCTGTAATATTTTAACAATAAATTAAAAAAATACACAGTGTCCAGCTGGTGTGGCTCAGCAGTTGAGCATCAACCTAGGATCCAGGAGATTCTCGGCCGGGTCAGGGCACATGCCCCGGTTTCGGGCTCGATCCCCAGCAGGGGGCGTGCAGGAGGCAGCCGATCAATGACTCATCACTGATGTTTCTCTCTCTCCCTCTCTCTTCCTCTCTCTGAAATCAATAAAGATATATTAAAAAAACACACAGAGCACATCTTGAAAGGAGAGAGAAAAGGGAAATATTATATCCAAACGTTACGTTCCAAGGTCTGACTTCTCATAGGCCTCTGTGGAGGCCAGAGAGCAAGAGTGACTAACATCCTGCAAGTACTGATGGAGAACGTAGTTGACAAAAATTCTACACGAACAAAAAATGCCCTTCAAGAATGAGGGCTCCTATGAAGACTTTTTGGGTGGGAGGCATCTAAGGATTTGTCTTTGGGGCATATGCACCGTGAGGGACGTAAAACGGAATTCCTCATGATGAAGAGAAGTGATGCTAAGCGGGTACCTGGACCCCCACAGGAGTAAAGAGCACTCAGAGCCGCAAGTAATTGCTCAATATGAAACCCTGTTTTGGAATTTTCCTATTTAAATTCTTTATAATAAATATGTCTGTTTAAAGCAAAACACACACAGACACGTATCTGCATTGCTTTGTGGGGTAATAGGATGTGTGCCAAGAGCTGAAGTCTCTACCGAGTCAGCCGACCTGGTCCTTAGCAGGAGGGTGTGGTTGTCTTAAAGCCTCATGGGGTTGAGGTGACATGTTTCCTTGTCATAGTTAAAGATGAACGTTTCTGTGATGAGGGACAGTGGCCTCTTGTGATCTCTCATTTGTATTAGCAAAATTACAGTACCAGTGAATAGAACATAATCAGGCTATTTTAAATAACTTTATTCTTAAATTTAACAAGCTCTTATTAGAAATGCTTTGGTATCGATACAATAAAAATATGCTGGTTTTTACCCCCACTGAATCATGTCAAGTAACTGGAAAAGTTAAGTGTTCATTCTCCCAGCTTTTTTGCAATTTTTTTTCCAAATAATGACTACTGCTTATTCACATGGCTTAATATGGGTATAATTATAAATTTTTTGGATCGCAAAAAAATAGAAACAAAATATCCAGGAGAGAAAGTCGCAAACACTTCTTAGTTTCTTCTCCAAAGGATGTTTACGTAGATGGTACACCTCTCAGATGACTTTTTTCCCCAGCTTTGCCATTCTCATCCTTAAAGCTGCAAATTAAAGGGGAAAAAAAAGTTATAAAAAAAAGCCTTAGTTTTCACTCTAATGACCATTTCATAGAATGCAGGAAAGTTTGAAACATACCTCAGATGATTTTGTCCACCAGTGTGAGCATTGTTTTAGTAGCATAAAAAGATAGTAGAAATAATAAGCTATGATTAACTTAGGACAGAAGCAGGTTCAGAGCTAGAAGGAACCTATTTCTATAAAGATGGGAAAAATGAGAAGAGTGAACACAGCATATGTGACAGCCAACGAAATTCTTAAAGGACCTCTTTGACCTGTGCATCCTCGGGAATGGGGTAATTCAGTCCCATTTCTCACTGTCCCATTGCTTAAGGGGAAAAGAGTCCTATATTGTTAGAGTGTGCCAATTCCTTTCTCCACTCCTGTGGCAATAGGTGGAATGAGTGTCAAGCAGAGGTGTGGGGCCAGAGCATGTAGGCCGTGGGAAGGCCCTGAGGTGCACAGCTAACCAACCCGGGCTATCACCTCTCCGTTTTATTTCTTTCCGTACTTCTCTGAACCCTACTTCCCTTCCCCATAGCAATTCAGATTCAAAGTCTTGGCTGGTTGGACTTGGTGGAGAAAAGCTTGCCTCTTTACTCCCAGCATCCCTTGGCTCCTAACGGTTGCCACAGGTTGGCCGTATTGGCAGCGATAGCATGCGAATCCCTGGCGCTGAGTCCCCCACCTCTTCACCCTGAAATGCCTCTGACATCCCTAAGAGGGGAGAACAGAGCTAGAAGAGGTACAAGGACACGTTGGTGAGGGTACCAGAGAAAGCCAGCCGTCCAGTTGGTGGGGACAGTAGTGAAGCGCCCGTAAACGCTCGCTGGGGCCCCTCGCTGGTGGGAGGTCCAGCGCTGAGCTGTATCTTCCATCATGATCCTGCTGCGTTTACACCAGCAGGCAGACATAACCCCGTTCAAAGGTTTGAGTGAAAACTATGGTCTGTAGGGTCTCCAGCCTCCACCTTTGTCCATTTCTATTCCTCCTCTGTGCTCTTTTCCACGTTAAAAACTGCTGGCTTTCATAGCTACATTCACACTAAGAGAAAAGCAACAGTCCCTCCTGGAAATGTTGGTATTTAGTAGGGGGGCTATTCCATAAATAAAGGGAGTGACTGAAGTAGTGAATTTTCAGGTACCAACAACAGCATTTTGGGGGGCTGGGAGGAGCAGCTCAGCCTACTCGGTGCTTGTGACGTCGAGGAGCATAGGGCTGTACAGTCTATGTCTGCGGATGCCCCCGAGGGCCTATGTCAATATGATCACGCTTCCTGAAAACCCCCCATCGAAACGTATCAGCTCCGTAACCCATGCGCTGAATCAGAAAACAACAACCTAAGACAATATGGTGATGGGAGGCAAGGAATTTGGAGCATTCTGTTTATAAGATGCTTGGACCGATAGTGAGGAACCTTGCATTGTTACTCGATCTGGAATATGTCTTCCTGTTTTCATTATTTCAGCTCAGTGCCGTGATTAGTGTTGTCTGGAAACATGAGTCACGTCCTGCCTTTTTCTATGAGGTCAATGTGTTGACGCGGTCGGGGAGGGGGGTCGGGGTGTTCAGGGGGAGCTAAGGCCCACATTAAAAAGCGGGAGGCTTTGGGGCGGGCCGTGTCCCAGCTCCCGACGGTGCACAGCAGGCTCCCCTCATTCTAAGTCTCCCATGCTGTTTTAAAAATGAATTTAAGGTACACAGTTTGCTCAGCAGGCAAAGCTCATTCTCTAAACGGAAAGGAACGTTCCGTTTTAGCAGGTTTCCACTGGGGGGGACACGCCACTGAGCTCGGATTTAGGAAGATGTCAGCGTTTAAACTACAGTCGGCGAGCCTTATTTACGCAAAAGATGGCGAGAGATCCGTCTCGTTGCATTACTGGGTTTATGGGGTGCGAGGAAGAAACCCTCCTAAATTACACAGGCACTGGTGCACTTCTGTGGAATCGCCAGGCCTGCTTGCTAGGCTAGCTGGGGCTCCATAGTTATTGCTTTTTAATGAGAATTCTTCTATTAGAGACATTTTAAATGACTGTCCCTTTCATATCTCCAGTGCCTGTATGTCTGGGTACGTTGACTATGTCTTCAGCAAAGCAACTACCGCTTTTATGATGGATTTTGTCAGATTCTTATTTCGTCTTTATAAGTGATGAGTAGAACACACTGTTCAAGTGCTAACGAGGAATCTAAAATCGAAGAGCTGCCACTTCTGTAGAAAAATAGCCGTGTTTTCCACTCAATACTAAGGAAGCTAGACAACCATAAAACTTGACAGAGACTATAAGTGCAAATATATGGAAAATAGAAGAAATACGTTTGCTGAGTTAGGGAAGACTGTGCAAAATAAAATGTTGCAGATAATGCACGGCAGATAAATCGCCATCCTATTTTAAAATATAGAAAAATTAAGGAAATAAAGTTAATAAAACGACAAAAGTAGAAACAAGATAGAGCAACGTAATAAAATATCACACCGAAAATAAAGTTTGTTTCTGGTTCCTTCTCGCAAAAGTAAGGCAATTAGTTAGCTTAAGTGGGAAGCTGAAAGCACAGAGAGGCACTCGCACGTGGCTGGGCGTGAGGCTCTGCAGGGAAAAGGTAAGATACTGATGATCCAGCTTCTTAGGGAGTGAAATACATTCACACGCAGGGCCGCACCCCGACTGCAGGTGAATTTCGAGTTGCTCACGTCAGTCAATGCGATATCCCAATAAGGCCACGGTTAAAAAAAAATTTTTCCTTGTCTTTCGAATTGACCGACTCACTCACGGTGACAATGGAATCAGGGTTAATAATAAATCTTAGTGTCTGTTAGTCTAGGGGCGGCCAGAAAAGCGGAGCGCGAGAGGGTTTGTTAACAACGCGGGGGCCCGGCTGTCACATGAGTAGACAGCACTTGCAGGCTCTGTCATTTTTATTACCTGTTAGGGACGGGTCCTCCGTGCCGTCCCCGGCCACCTGCGGGCCGCGGGGTGGGTGGCGGGCGGGGCTGCCCAGGCTCTCTTCTTGCTCCCTCAGGGACATGGAGTTCTTGTGCGGGCAGGGGTGGCGGGTGTTCTCGCGGGCGCTGGCCTCGGTCCTTGTCCTGGGAAGCGGCGTGGGTCTGGCCGTCGGGTGCGGGGAGGGCTTCCCGGCTTCTCTCTCCGCCTCCGCCTCCTCATCAATGACCACCAGCTCGGCGTGGATGACCCCGTCGTACCCCGCCAGGGGCCCCTTCTCGTAGTCGTCTGCCTGCTGGTACCCCATGAAAATCATGGTCACGGGTCCCGCGCCATCCGCGTCAGGAGGCAGGGAATGCATGATGTTGTATCTCACGTCTCCCTCGTCCTCATCCTCGGGGCGGGCCGGAGAAGGGCCCCGGCCTCGGGGGCTGGGCCTCGCCTTCGGGGAGGGCGAGCGCTCCTCCTGCATCCCCTCCGAGCCCCCCCAAGGAGCCGGCGGCCTCTTGTGCGGGGTGTGGGGCGTCTCCTCTGCCTTCAG